TCCCTGCGGCATTGCTGGCACTTCCACATGTTTAACCTGCGCACGCACTGGCCTCGGGAGAGCTCCATACCACAAGCACACACTTCAGTTTGTTCCCCCTGGGCCTTGCTCCACAGCAAACCCTCATGCAAAGCGTTAATGTAAAGAAACCGCTTCCTATGCGCCGCTTTGGATGGCTTCACTAGGCGAAACCTTTTTCTTAGGGGACCACTCGCAACGTGCAACCCTTCTACTCCCGAGATCAAGGGGCACTTAGGTGCCTTAACCCTCTAATCTGCTCTATCCTCCACTCCAGAATTAGCAAAAAGAGTTCAGAGCCCTGGAGCCACCACACGAGCATCTCCCCATGGGCATCCGTGCACTGCAGGCCACGTGGGGAAGCGGCGCCCATTCCAGCATTCCCAGCGCAGGGAGGAGCCCAGCAGGCAGTGCTGAGCCTGGCCAGGCAGCACCCACCCCAAATCCCGTTATTTCATCTCATTTCAGAGCAAAACAGCGCCTTGCCTTCCCACTGTGGGGGAAATTTTCCGTCTCGGCAACACATTTTTCCCCCCTCCTCGTATTGCACCTTTTGAAGCATTTGATACCGAACAGATTGCGAGAGGCTGAGGTTTAATTCAGCAGAGTGCTGAAATAGTTCCCGGTAAAAATAGATTTTTCTTCAGAAGTAGCTGGGTAAGGAGTTTTAGGACTGCTAAGGGAGGGCCGCATGCTAAGAGGAAGTGTGCAGCTGGCCACTCGCATTTGGGAGTCACATCACTGTCACCCGCTCAGTGAATGTCCCCACGTGCAAAGCTGCCCCAAAATAATTTGCAGGGTTCAATGCCTGGGATTTCACCTGCAGTGGGGTCCCCCCGTTAAGGAAAATAACAGGTGCTGCCTATAAAAAGAGCCTGGAATTTGCAGCTTCAAGGAAGACATGGAAAGATCCAGAGATAGTTGTGCAGCGCTCTGCAGATGCCAGGCAGGCCTGGGGAGGCCCTAGTAAAGACCGGATTTCATTCACTCCGTCTGAGGAAGAATCAGATCACACACAAGCACCATTTGAGCTTCCTTCCTACAACACCAGGAGAAATTCAGCTCTAAAACCAAACCCCCCCGCAAACCAAGCAGGTTTCCTCCTCCTTGGAGTCCCCAGGAGACACAGCTGAAGTCCCTCATTTGGGAAAAGCTTCCACAGAAGCACTGCTCCTGGCTCAGACTCTGCAAGGGGACTTTGCAGCGCTGCTTTCCAAGTTTTCACTCGTTTTTGACCTCATAGAAAACCATCCCACTGGATTTTCCCTTTGCCCCTTGCTTCCCCAGGAAGCCTGCCGGAGCAGAGGGAGGCTGTGCCAGGTGCTCCAGAGTTCAGCAGACGGTCGGATGAGAGGGCCCGGGAGGAATCACTGCTGTGTCTGAAATATCAGCACAAATTACCTCTCTATCCCGGTGCCTTCGCCCCGCCAGGGAGCGAGGACAGCCTTTCTCTATGGCTCTGGCTTGGAAACCAGATTCTTTACTCTGGGAGCACATTTGATTAAACACAACAGCTCTGTTTTAGCTATTCATTCCTGGTAGGAAATTGTAATGGTTCACTGGGAAGCTGGAAGTCACAGCCAAAGCCTTCTTGGCTTTCAGCAGCTCAGAGTTTTCAGCTTGGGGCCAACACTTCTCAGTTGTGATCAAGCAACTCAGAAAGGAAGGAGTGTTGTGCTGAAAGCATTTGCTTTCTGCTCAAGCTTTTTTTTTTGCAGTGGCAGGCTCAAATCTCTGTCAAAATGCAGCTTTGACAGTAAACATTTCCGATCAGCCTCCCAGACAGCAGCTTCCCTGCAGCCGCCGCACGGGATGGCCGGGAAGCGCACGCAGTTCGGGAGCAACATTCCCGTCTGCACAGGAGCCAGGATACAAGCGCGCACGGGGGCCTGGAATTGGGCAACACACCAGCACAGAGGCTTGGTGTTGATCTTAGGGAAGCCAGAGAGCAGCAGAAGAGAATCTGGGATTGTAAATTCACAGCCCAGGTCTAATTTAGCAAGAGTTCCATCTGGAAAGGGGAAGATTGGGAAAGACTAGGCAAAATTGCTAGTGGCAAGATGTTCCTAAACTCAAATTGCTGTTGGCCCACCGTGTTACCCCAAAAAGGCCTGTCCCTTGGCATGGACGTAGGTAGCATGGAAGGAAGGAGAAAGATTTCTCAGCAGCGTCGCCCAAGACTAACAGCGCTCAAGCAAAACATCCTTGAAAGCAGCCCACACCAAAGGCTCAGTTCCTGCTAGGTCAATGGACTTCTCACCCCATTGAGGGAAGGGAAACAAGCCAAGGAGAGGAATAAACCTCAATCCTTCCCTATTGCTCACAAAGCGCCAGAAGAGCCGCCGGCTTTGGAAGAGTCGTGGCACCGGAGCAGCC